CATCAGAATTAACAATATTTGAATGAGTTTGTAAAACATTAAGATCAGCAACGCATCACTGCAAATGCTTACCCTATGAAATTAATGCAATACAGTTAGCCAAAGCTCCACTTCAAAAAACGAAGCGGAAACACAGACAATCACAAAATGAAAGTGTTCAAAAGACTTAAGGCTTGTACTTAATGCGGAGTTTAACATATTGACAAAGTCCATTATAAATACCAGCAATATTAAACGGTCCAGCCGCATGACCTTCGAAGTGTCTAACCACAAAATTAGGCATTGTCCTAATAACCATCTCGATAATTACGATCATACTAATGGTTGAACGTCCTTAAATTGCAAGGGAATATGCGCGAATGTAGCTATGCATTTCTCAATAGATGTGATGGCTGTCTGATTGGTGCACTTAAGGGATGCATAAGAAAAGCATGGAAGCGGCGGCTCATCTGGAGCAAGTCGAGAAATCTAGCGATGTCAGCGAGAGCGACAGCGAAGACGGACCATCAAGCCGCAGTTCGATGAACGCTGGCATAAGGCCTCACTACAACGATGAGAAGGTAAGTTCTCTTCTTTTCTCAGTGAACTCAATTACAATTTCCAATCGTATCATCTTCAGCTGATCGGACAGCTTAGCCAACAGCGATCACTGATGGACCATAACATGCACAATCACCACGGGGCTTTCGTCTTACCCACCCATGCGAAGCTTTACGAACAATGATACTCATTCAACGATATACATAACTGTAGTTATGCCCATAAATGGTGTGACAGTAACGCAGGCGTACAAGCCAACTCGTGCACAAACGGTTACGGTAGCAATTATCTCAAGTGTCGCGATGAGGGTGTCAAGAAGGCAAAAACGCATCCTAATTGAGCGGGCAAACGAAGCCGGCTACTGACCGAGGTTCTGACTGAAGAAGCCGCTGTCATTAGGGTGTTATTGCTGTAGCTGTCAAGCAAGCAAAAACGCAACTAATAAAGCGATAATCTAATTGTCAGATGATTGGAATTTGAAATACATACATACTGATTTTACAACTATCTTCAGTACTAATCTTATTCACTCCATATTAAGCAGAGTTACAAACGTAGATAAGAGTTCAGGTTTAGTTTAGAGGTTATCGAAATTTGGAAAACGTCAGGGCGGTTGAAAGATGCGAGAGTGGGGAGCGACTAACATCTGTCGAAATCGTTAGATCTAATAAAACTACACGCCATTCAGAGTTTTCTAGTTTATGACAAAGATTTATTCTGTAATTTACATGTTAAATTGGAATAACTCAGGTTACATACGTGCCAACAATTTTTGACCAAACAAACAAGAAATTCTGCTGCTCAATTTAACATATATTCGCATTATAAGCAATAAAAAACTAACTCAAATGATTACACAACCCGTCATCTACTTATCCTTTTTTCTATCTTATATACTCATCAAACTGAGTTCTCAACCCAATTCCTAAGTGAAATCCCTCAGTTGATGCGGTAAATGTGTGATGATAAATTCTCAACCATACTATGAAACGTTATGATAATTCGAATCTATCTTCTTCAGTGATAGAGACCTACCAGAATCAGTGATTTTTCTAACCCATATATCTCTAGCAAAGAAGAATATGAAAACATCATTTTTCCCAAACTACATATTCAACCTCTGTTTTAAAAAGTTGTTCGTGAAGCCATTTAAATGACAGAATTAACATTTCAATTCGATCGGCTTTCAAACCACCAGCGCAAGAAAAGAAAATAAAGCAAAAATTGTAGCTGCCAAGTCTAAGAGAATGCAGGAAAACTTCTAGATCATTATTTGATCATTAATTTTGATTCCAAATTTCCTACAACTTCATTTCAAGGACTACCTTGAACTCGAATTTCCACCCATAAACAAAGCGTGTATAAATATCTATTACGGTAATATATGGGTTAAAACAATAGGTGACTCTACACACTTATCATTACTTTAAAACAAAACTTTACGGTAATAAATGTTATCACATTTGGGTGTAGCATAAAAGAAAACCCTTTTGGACAAGCTTCTAGTTGCCAATGACGCCTAATGTTAACATCAAACCAACATACAAGTCTCTACCGTAATCATAC